ACAGTGGGATAGGGACTGGTCAATTACTCCAGGTTGGCTGGCTAGCAAGCTCCAGGTGTCTTCTTGTCTTTGCCTGCCCAGTGCTGGGATTATAAGCATGTACCACAATGCCCAGCTTTGGGACATTAGTTTTGGGGATGGAATTCAGGTGTTTATGCTTGTGTGGTAATTACTTTAGCAAGTCATACATCTCTTCAGCCCTTGACTTTGTCCCAAGATTGTCTAAACTTTCTTGAGGGAAAATGGATTATATAATGTCATTAAAATTGATTTCATGCCTAAATGAGCTTAGAAAATATGATTAAATAATGTTAAGAGACTCTTTAAGTCTTTATTATGACACTGCATGATGAATCTTGGAAACTAATCGGTGTAAAGCAGGGTCCATCAGAACAGCTTGAACATCTTAAGAACGAAGAATCCCTTTTTTTGGTACTTTTGAGACAGGGTCTCCACCTGGCCTCTATTGTAGGTAGATCAGACAGGCCTTGATTTCACAGAAATCTGCCTGCCTCTGCCTCCTGAATGCTGGGATTAAAAGCATGTGCCACAATGCCCGGTGTCAGATTTGCTTTTTTTTTTTTTTCTGACAATCTCATAATGAAAAGCAAGATTCAGCTGGGCATGGTGGCACATGCCTTTAATCCTGGCAGTCAGGAGGCAGAGGCAGGAAGATCTCTGTGAGTTCGAGGCCAGCCTGGTCTACACAGCGAGTTCCAGGCCAGCTGGAGCTACAGGGAGTCCCTGTCTCAAAAAGACCAAAAATCCATTTATTATTATTTTTTATGTATATGAGTATATTGCCTGCATGATGTCTTGCAATGCCCTCGAGGACAGAAGAGGCCATCGGATCCCCTGGAACTGGAGTTACGGACAGTTGTTAGCTGCCATGTGGGTGCTGGGATTCAAACCTGGGTCTTCTGCAAGAACAACCAGTGTTCTTAACCCTGAGCCATCTCTCTAGCCCCCATTTATTATTTTTAATTTTATGTGTATGAATGTACTGCCTGCATGCATGTAAGTGCATGCATGTTGTGCAATGCCCATGGAGGTCAGAAGAGGGCATAGATTATCTGGAACTGGAGTTACAGATGGTTTGGAAGCAAACCTGGGTCCTCTACAAGAGCAGCCTGTGCTCTTAACCACTGAGCCGTTCCCTCCAGTCCCTCACTTTCTTTCTTATAATATGCTTTTAATGGTACCATTCTCTTTTTCCCATAATACCTTCTAATTCCCCACTTCTATTTACCCTTTTTCTATGATCTCACAATACTTTACCTTTAATTCCATTAAGAGTATCAATATGGGGCTGGAGAGATGGCTCAGTGGCTAAGAGCACTGGCTGTTCTTGCAGAGGACTGGGGTTCAATTCCCAGCAGCCATATGGCAGCTAATAACCATTCATAACTCCAGTTCCAGGGGATCCAACACCCTCTTCTGACCTCCTTGGGCATTGCATGACACGGGTGCACTCAGATACATGCAGGCAATACACTCATACACATAAAATAAGAATAAAAATTTTTTGGTCTTTTTTTTTGAGACAGGGTCTCCCTGTAGCCCCAACTGTCCTGGAACTCACTATGTAGACCAGGCTGGACTTGAACTCAGAGATCCACCTGCCTCTGCCTCCCAAGTGCTGGGATTAAACGCATGTGCTACCATGCCCGGCAAGAATAAAATATTTAAAAAATGAGTATCAGTATGTGTTTATACGTCATCTCTGCTAGCCTAATGGCAGGAGAGGAACTTAGATTCTAAAACATATAAAAATAACAGTGATTAGCACAGAGAAGATGACCATAAAGATGAACAGGGGTTAGATAAATGAATGGTCCTTTCTTTTGTCAAGGGTATTGCAGGACATGGGTGCACTTACATACATGTAGGCATACCCTCATACTCACAAAAATAAAAATAATAAATACAATATATTAAAAAAAAGAAAGTGAAACATAGTTTGGTTTGGGAAACTCGGTGTCAGAACTATGTTACATTCTGGAATAGTTGAAATAACTTGTTGAAATAACAATTGTTAGTTGTTATTTAGTTGTAAAAGGAAAAAAGAATTTGAAAATTCTAATAGTGGAGAAATGCAATGACAGGTATTTGAACAAGATGCTGTGGGGGTACAGAATTGACTTTGGTGAAAGGCCTTGAAGTTCATGTTAAAGATTTTGGACTTAGGAGCAGTGAGATGGCTCAGCATGTAAAGGCACCTTTCACTAAGCATTTCAATTCCTGAGACATGCATGGAAGAAGTGATTTCTGAAAATTGTTCTCTAACCTTCACACATGCTCTGTGGCTCAAAGGGTCCTCCCTCAACAAGATAAATAAATGTACACGTCTTTGATCCCAGCACTCAGGACGCAGAGGCAGGCAGATCTCTGTGAGTCTGAGGCCAGCCTGGTCTATATAGCCAGTTCCAAGCCAGCTGTGGGGACAGGGAAACCCTGTCTCAAAAAAAAAAAAAAAAAAAAAAAAAAAAAGATTTTTGGATTTCAATGTGAATTATGAGCAAGTCTCAAGGTTTTTAAGAAGGAAACTGACATCAGGTTTGAACCTTAGAATGACCCTGACAAGTGTGGAAGACAGGGAGGAGACTAAAGACAATAAAAATAAAAATACTTTTGCTGATAATCAAGTTTTCAGTAACATAAACTAGCAGGGTGTGGTAGTACCTGCCTTTTATCCCAGCATTCCAAAGGCAGAAGCAAACAGGTTTCAGTGAGTTCAAGGCCCAGCCTAGTCTAGAGAGTGAATTCCAGATCAGCCGGGGCTCAAAGGAAACCCTGTCTCAAACCGACCGCCCCCCCCCCAAATCAATTACATAAATTGAAGACTGGGATCACATTATAATAAAAAGAAATAAGCCCATATATATATTTGTTTGTTTTTAATCTTTTTGAGACAGGGTCTCCCTGTAGCCTCTGCTGGTCTGGAGCTTGCTATGTAGACCAGGCTGGCCTTGAACTCACAGAGATCTGTTTGCCTCTGCCTCCTGAGTGCTGGGACTAAAGGTGTGCACCACCACACCTGGCTTGTTTTCTGTTTTTGTCAGAGCCAGGTAAAGAAGACAGTGCCATTTGTAGCCCATTCCTTCTGGTACCCTTGGTTTCCTCTTCTGCATTCTGTGTTGTCAGGGCTGGAGGTTGTTTGGGTGCATTCAAAGGTGACTGGAAAAATGAGGGTGTAACTGCTATCAGGATATTTATAAACAGCATAATACTGTCAACTACTGCTTTACCTCTAAACTGAGCAAGCAGATATTTAAATTATAAACTAAGAAAGACCATGTTAGGATGAGAAGTTAAGAATGTCCATGCTGACCCAGCTTTCAAAGGCAAATCTGCAAAGCCTTCGCCGTGAGTCCTTAAGGTAATACCTTCTTCCTACAATCTGACTGTGGTGTTTCCAAATCTGATATGTAAGAAAATCTTACTATTAGGTTAAGAAATTACTCCACTTCTCCAATGTAGTACATACAGCTTCTATGGAATGCAGTACACTCACAATAACCTTTTAGAAAGCCTTATACCTTTAGGGTATCTAGGCAAGATTTATGATTACTAAACAGAAAAACGTGATCTAGTGAGAGGTATAATTTAAAGACTTGCTTTTTCTCTTCCATTCTTTTGACAATTTATGATCTACAGGAAAAATACTATTTTCAATTTTTAGCCTTAATTTTGTTAGGACATCATCTAGTAAAGATATTTTATTTTTAATTTTAAAGAAAATAGGGGCTGGTGATAGATTTCAGTTAGTAGAGTGCTTACTTAGTATGTAGGAAGCCCTGAGTCTGATCCTTAGCACGCTATAGATTTTTAACTTTTATTATTTTTATTTTATGTACATGAGTGTATTGCCTGCATGTGTGCAAGTGTACCCAAGTCATGCAATGTCCAAGGAGGTCAGAAGAGGGTGTCAGATCCCCTGGAACTGCAGTTACAGACAGCTGTTAGCTGCCCTGGGAATCGAACCTGGGTCCTCTGCAAGAGCAGTCAGTGCTCTTAACTGCTGGGCCATTTCTCCAGTCCCTTCAGTATGTGCCATATATATATACACACACACACACATACACACATATGGTGGTACATGCCTGTAACCCAGCACTTGGGAGATGAAGGCAGGAGGATCGCTGTGAGTTTACAGTCAGCCCGTGCCAAGAGTAAGACCCTGTACAATACACAGAAACAAAACAAATTCCCTCAAACCAAAAAAACAAAATAAAAAAGAAACAAAGGAAGGAGAGAAGGACATAGGGAAGAAGAGAGGGCAGGGAGGGATGGAAGAGAGGGAAGGAAGGGAGAAAACACATTCTCAGTTTCTGTCAAGTTTAAGCATATCCAGCCACAGCCTCCAGCACGTGGCTAGGCAGGGCTCAGCAGGTACGACACTGACTTACATTTTATACTGCTCCCCAATCCTAGTACTTGGGAGGTGGAAGTAGGAAGATCAGGAGTTCAAGGTGATCCTCAGCTATATTTTGAGGCTAGCCTGGGCTTCAAGAGGCCCTGTCATTCGTGTGTGTGTGTGTGTGTGTGTGTGTGTGTGAAGGGCTAGGGATGTGGTATAGTGGTAGAGTACTTGCTTAGCATGCACAAGATCTTGGGTTTGATCCCCAGTACCTCAAAGGAAAAAAAAATTGCCTATTAAACAAAAGCAGTGTGGTCTAACTAATCTTCATCTATGTGCTAGCTAATGAGCCACAAGTTTGTAACTCTTCAATAAAAGCATAGAATCAGAAGCACTGCCCATGTCCAGTGCCTCTAGTCACAGAGGATGTGGTGTGGGTTCCTTGTAGATTTTGAGAAGTGTAATGTAGTCCTCACACAGGCAATACCACTCACCTGGAGATTCCTTATCCCATTTCTATGGGTCCTCAGCAGGAGTTAATTAGATAGGATTCTTACATATCTCTTCTTGGTTATAAAATGGTGGGTAATTGCTTTAGCTACACAAAGATGAACTACAACTACAGAAGTGGCTTTTTTACCTGCTTAAGAAATCGGTCGGAGGCAGTGCTGTACTTGGCTAACACACTAGGCAGAGCAGGGTTGGCATACTCAAACTGAGGATTGTAAGTGTAGTCAGACTTGAAGAACCTCAGTTTTTCTTTCTCCAAGTTGGTTGGCTTTATAGCAGTCAATATACAAAATTTCTTTCCAGAAAGGTCATCTCCTTTTTCAAAGCTTCTGCACAGCTGGGGCTGCTGCTTTGGCTTTGGAAGGGGGGTGAAGAGGTGTCGTTTGACCTTGCTTTTCGGTTTAGGTGGCAGTACTATGCTGTTTCCTGTAACAGAGATATCATGTGTAAACTTTACAGGACTTGACACTGAACTAGTGACAAAAACAGCAGACTGCCTATCCAGGCAGTACCAAGTACCACTGCTTGTCACAGGCACCATGGCTGTCACCCTGTGAGGATCTTTACTATGAGAGGCACTAGGAGATTTGCTGGGTTTTCTACATCTTTTGGAGGTGGTAGAGGTAAACTGCTTTTGTGAATGGTGCTTTTTTTCTTCCTTGCTCTGTAGCAGGACATTGTAACTACTGGTTCCAGTTGTGAAAGTGTCCTTTAGAACTCCAGAGGGTGGTAACTGTGAAAAGCTTCTTTTGCCGTCAAAGATCAATGCCTCTTCAGCACTTAGAATGGACTTCTTAGCAAGTTCTCGCTCAGGCCAGTGAAGCTTCTCTGTGTTAATAAACAAAACCAAAACAAAAGAAACAACAAAGATACCATATGAAGCAAATTGCTTATTATATAAGTTACCTGAAGGTTCTGTGTACTTAAGTTTTTTAGAAAAAATATTTTAAACATAAAAAGATATATGGTCATGTAAGACAGTACAGTGTACACACATTAATTACCTATCAAAATGCTCAGCTTCAAACCATGTATAGTCAAAAGTCTAATACTGATTTGAGATAACCTACATAAATGATCTGAAAACCTCCCTCTACTAAAGAATGTGAATTTCAGAAAGAGGATAGTAATGTGATAGTAATATCAGGAGTTGCATTCAAGACACTGTCAAAGTTAATAAAATCTTAAAATTTGGAACTATACTTAAAGGTAGCCACCAGGGGCTAGAGAGATGGCTTAGTGCTTAAGAACACTGGCTATTCTTGCAGAAGACCTGGGTTTGAATCCCAGCACCCATATGGCTGCGATCAACTGTCCATAACTCCAGTTCCAGGGAATTTGACACCCTCTTCTGTCCTCCTCAGGTACTGTATGGCACAGATGCACTTACATATATGCAGGCAATATACGCATATACATAAAATAAAAACAAGAAATTAAAAAGGCAGCCACCAGTAAAAGAATGATACTGGGTAGCTGGAGAGATGATAGCTCAACAGTTAAGAGTACTAGCTGCTCTTGCAGAGGGCCCTGGTTCACAGCACCCACATAGCAGCTAACAACTATCCTTAACTCCAATTCCAGGGGAATCCAATGTCCTCTTCTGACCTCCACAGGCACTGTATGACATAGGTGCACATACATGCAGGCAATACACTCATACACATAAATAAAAATAATAATGAGGATACTGGGTGTGATGGCTCATGCCTGTAATCTCAGAATTTGGAAGACTGAGGCAAGAAGACTATCTGGAGTTGAGGCCAGCCTGGTCTACACAGTAAGTTCCAGGCCAGCTAGGGCTTCAGGAAGACTCTGACTCAAAAAAACCCAAAATAGATCAAACATAGTCTCCCCCAAACCAAAGCCCCCCAAAGGAAAAACAGAAAACATTGCTTTTTAAGAGTTAACAGATGAGGCAGGCACTATAGCATCCTCAAGAAGCAGAGAAAGCGAATTTCTTTGAGTTTGAGGCCAGTCTGTTCTGCATAGTGAGTTCCATGCCAGCCAGGGCTACACAGTGAAACCCTAGCTCAAAAAAAAAGATTCAATAGATGATATATGTATGTTCAAGCATGTTTTATTAAGGTCAATCATTATTAATTTTTGGCTGAGAGCTGGGGATACAGCTTGGTGACAAAGTATTTGCTGTTTCCCCAGAACAGAAACATAGCAACAATAATGATTCATTGATTGAGGGGTGAGGCTGAGGGGGAGAGACAGAGTCTCACGCAGCCCTGGTTGGCCTGAAACACACTATGTAGCCAAGGTTAGCCTTGAACTTCTTATCCTCCTGCTGCTTCCACCTCCCAAGTGCTGAGATTTCAGGCATGTACCACCACCCATAAACTTGGACATGGCAATCCCAGATCTTGGAAGGTGGAAGCAGGAGATCAGAAGTTCAAGGGCATCCTCAGCCATGAGTTTCAGGCCAGTCTGGGCTACATGATATACCTTGTTGCTATTATGAAAGTATCAGTATATTAAATGACAAGTTTAAAGAGCAGCTTTGTTTTAAAATATCACAAATCCTTTAAACAGGTTAAGAATCATTTGCTACACTATTGCTCACACACTGCTTCCAAATAGTGAGGTATGGTAGCTCATGTCTGTGATCCCACCATTTTGGAGATGGTGGTAGGAGGATCAGGAGCTCAAGGTTATTCTCAGTCACAAAGAGTCTCAGGTCAGCCTGTACTTCATGAGTTTTGTGCCCCACCCCCCAAAAAATTAATTAAATAAATTTGAGCATTATTTACATCCTTTTAAAAATATTTTATTGATTATTTTTATTTTATGTGCATGTGCATATTGCCTGCATGTAGGTAAGTTCACCTGTGTCGTGCAATGCCTGTGGAGGACAGAAGAGGCTGTTGGATCCCCTGGAACTGGAGTTATGGACAACTGTTAGCTGCCATGTAGGTGCTGGGATTCGAACCTGGGTCTTCTGCAAGAACAACCAGTGTTCTTAACTGCTGAGCCATCTCTCCAGCCCCTATTTATATCCTTTTATTCAACAAATATGTAGCATATTTGGTACATGTCTCTACTAAAGGTCTCTATAAATACATACATAAACTGTACCTAGCTGTATTTTCCCCAGGGCTAGGGAATGAACTCAAGGCATTTTCCATGCTATGCAGACACTCCACTGAGTTACAGCCTAGCCCCACCAACTTCTGATTCTGAAGATAAGGAATTCCTGAACATCTTTTTTTGTTTTTTTGAGACAGGGTCTCTCTGTAGCCCCAGCTATCCTGGAACTCACTATGTAGACTAGGCTGGCCTTGAACTCACAAAGATCAGCCTGCCTCTGCCTCCTGAGTGCTGGGACTAAAGGTTTGCACCACCACGTCTGGCTTCTGGAAGTCTTTTAATAATACTGTATAGCATCTGATCAAAGGGGTAATGATAATCTGGAGTTCAGAAAAAGAAAAGACAAATGTGAAGAGAATCAGATGAGATTTCAGGTAGGACTTCAAAAGGCACAGATACACTTCTGAAGTCTTAAATCAAATTCATCTGGATGAGATTTTAGCTCAAGTCCTGTCAATAAATGTTCAATGAATAAATACAGTAATAAAGAGCCCTACATGTGCCATTCTCCAACCTTTTTGGATAAACAGGCTTTGTAGCCCGGCAGCCATTCTGCATTTCTGAGGACAGCACTGCAACAGACATATAGCAGTTAAGACCCTACACTAGTGGCTCTCAAACAAGGGTTATTTTGTTCTCCAGGGGACTTGGGAAGTAGCTAGAGACATTATGGCTGTCACATAGGGGAGACTTCTGGCATGTAAGCAGAGGCTAGGAATAATGACAAACATCCCTCACAGGACAGTCACCTGCACAATGACATATTCACCCCAAACTACCATGTGCCATAGTTGTGTCTATTTTTGTTTCATACAAGGTCTCACTATGTAGCCCGGGCTGGCCACAAACTCATAGTAATCCTCCTCTTTGGCTTCCCAAGTGCTAGGATTATAGGCATGCACCACCACACTTGGCTAAATGCCTGCTTTTATTTATTTTTATTTTTTGGCCTTTTTGAGACAGGGTCTCCCTGTAACCCCAGCCAGCCTGGAACTCGCTATGTAGACCAGGCTGGACTCAAACTCGCAGAGATCCACCTGCCTCTGCCTCCTGAGTGCTGGGATTAAAGTTGTGCACCACCATGGCCTGGCTAAATATCTGCTTTTAAAGTCCAGAAGTTTAGCATTCAGGATGAAGAACAATACCAGGTCAAAAGTGGACAACAAACATTTCAAATATGTAAGATAATCGAACAGTCCTTTAACTAACATTTTTTGCCTATAATCCAGTACTTGGGAGGTGAGGGCAGGAGAATCAGGTCATTTCTGGCTATACAGAAAGTTTAAAGTCAGTGTCCGGGCTATGTGAGATCCTATCTCAAAGAAACTAAAAACTAAAACTAAAATAAAATTTCTTAGATAGCATATAAAATTTGAATTCTGGTATTTAAGATATTACACAAAAGTATGAACTTGCAAGGGTTAAATGCAACCATATATAAAAGTTTAAGAGGTAGAGAGCTAGACCTCACAAAGTCATACGGAAGGTAGATTATACAAAGAAGTCACTAAAAAATGTTAAAGATTCAATCAGCCAAAAATAATAGAATGAATAACACTTTCATCACAGGCCAGTCAGTCAAAGTTTCCAGGCTTCCGTGCTGCTTGTTTGGCAAGACAAGCTAGAGAACACCAGGGCTCAGGGTGTTGTATGCCAAATGCCCAGAAACAATGTCAGTTTCCCTAAAAAGATATCACAAATTCAGGAGACAAGAGGTGACAAGTAAGAGAGACTGAAACGCAGACAAAAAGGGAAACAAAACTGGACAACGGCCTGGGCAGGCAGCAGAGGAAACTGAAAGACAGGGATCGGCTGGAGGCTCAAACGCCTACAGCACCTGGTATCGCCAGGTGGGCTCCCATCCCAACAGTAATCAGGCCCAACCCTGCTTAGTCTCCAAAAACAGACCGGAGCCTGTAGGGAGGCCTGGTAGGTACTGCAGGTCAAAGAAAGGAGAGAGAGTGCTGGACTCAGCAGGGTGGGACCGAGCGCAGTCAGAAATGGAAAGGGAGGTCATCAGGCTCTTGTCCCACTCGATCTTCACAACATCGAATAAGTTAAACCAAGTTAAAACCAATGAATAAAACATTACTCTGAAGAATTCCTATTCTGATGGTTTACAATGTATATGTTGTACTGATTTTTAATTTAATTTAATTTACTTTTGTTTTTCTGAGAAAGGGTCCTCACTCTGCAGAACCTAGACTGGCCTAGAACTCATTATGTAGCCCAGAATAGCATCAAACTGTGGTGATCCTCCAGCTTCAGCTGCCAAAGTCCTGGGATTATAGGGGTAAACTGCCATGCTTGGCTGTACTGATTTTTAAAAGATGAATATTTAATATAAAAATGGTTTGATAGAGGCAGGCAGATCTCTGTGAGTCCGAAGGCCAGCTTGGTCTATATAGGGAGTTCCAGGCCAGCTGGGGCTACAGGGAGACCCTCTTTAAAAAAAAACTAACCAACCAACCAAACGAAAATGGTTTGATTCTAGGGGGCTGGAGAGATGGCTCAGCAGTTAAGTGCACTGGCTGCTCTTACAGAGGACCCAGATTTGATCCCCAATACCCACATGGCAGCTAACAGCTGTTTGTGTTCCAGAGGAATTCAGTGCCCTCTTCTGACGTCCATGGGCACGACACAACCTGAGGGCACTTACATGCATGGAGGCAATACACTCATACACACAAAAATATAAATAATAAAATATTTTAAAAAATAGTTTGATTCTA